CACTAAGCACTTTAGAACTAGCACTAAGCACTTTAGAACTAGCACTAAGCACTTTAGAACTAGCACTAAGCACTTTAGAACAGCACTAAGCACTTTAGAACAGCACTAAGCACTTTAGAACCAGCACTACTAAGCACTTTAGAACCAGCACTACTAAGCACTTTAGAACCAGCACTACTAAGCACTTTAGAACCAGCACTGCTAAGCACTATTAGAACCAGCACTAAGCACTTTAGAACAGCACTAAGCACTTTAGAACTAGCACTAAGCACTTTAGAACTAGCACTAAGCACTTTAGAACAGCACTAAGCACTTTAGAACAGCACTTAGCACTTTAGAACAGCACTAAACCCTTTAGAACCAGCACTAAGCACTTTAGAACAGCACTAAGCACTTTAGAACAGCACTAAGCACTTTAGAACCAGCACTTAGCACTTTAGAACAGCACTTAGCACTTTAGAACAGCACTAAACCCTTTAGAACCAGCACTAAGCACTTTAGAACAGCACTAAGCACTTAGAACCAGCACTAAGCACTTTAGAACAACACTAAGCACTTTAGAACAGCACTAAGCACTTAGAACCAGCACTAAGCACTTTAGAACAGCACTAAGCACTTTAGAACAGCACTAAGCACTTAGAACCAGCACTAAGCACTTTAGAACAGCACTAAGCACTTTAGAACAGCACTAAGCACTTAGAACCAGCACTAAGTTCTTTAGAACAGCACTAAGTACTTTAGAACAGCACTAAGTTCTTTAGAACAGCACTAAGCACTTTAGAACCAGCACTTTATAAATTTTGCAGTTCCACCCTATCAAAACTACTTCTCTTTTGTAGTACCTTTTTACATGATACCAATTAACAAATTTGTGTTATTATTAAACAATACATTTTGTAAACTACTTCTGTTTTCGTCATTCTGGAGCCAGACCAACCTGAGTACTTTTAATAGGGAATCCATAGATCATTTAGCATTGGTTTAGTAATCTACCAGTTGGCTTTATGGTCACGCCCTCTGAGCCACAATCTGGGTGCTTCCCACCTTGTTACATAATTATAACAATAATTAATTATCAAATTTACATCTCTTTGTTCATGGTGGATTAAGTSTGTCACATATTTTATTATTCTAATATTTTCTTTCCATTCAGCAACAGAAAGCAACAGATTCCTCTTTTATTATTAATTATAACTATGTCCAAGTTTCATAACRTGTGAAAAATCAACATTTTTTGTTTATTCAGTCAGTATTTAATACAGCTGGCACAATAACTTGTTCAAATATAAYGATATGCTTCTTTTCAGCATATTGTAAAAAATACCTCTTCATTTGATTTAAAGACCTTCTTGATACAAAAGATAACTSCAATTTTAAWGAAAATGTCTGCTKATCAATAATATCAATCACCTTTATATTAGTTCACTGATGGATAACTTGCAGCCCTAACAGGGCATGTGTAGGGTGACTCTGCTACAGATCCATCTGAACCTGCAACGCTTCAACACTTCACCGCCACATCACCAGACCCTGTTGCCCAGCAACAATCCAGCTCATTACAGAAGGGCAAAAATTATACAATACCAGCCACACACACACACACACACATTGTGTCTCTCTATACTTGTGGGGACTTTCCATTGACTTCCATTCATTTTTTGGACAATTTTATATTCTAACCCTGACGATTTACCCTCAAACTAACCTCACAGGTACCACCCTGACCCTAAAACTAACCTAAACTCAATTCACACCTTGGTCCTAAACCCAACCCCTACACCCAAAACCAGCCTCTGAAGTTGTGAGGCTGCATTTTCCTGAAATATCGTCCCCACCAAGTAGCAAAAACAAGGGCACACACACACACACACACACACACACACACACACACACAAAATCAGCCTCTGAAGTCGTGGGGACCGGTGTTTGGTTCCAACAAGGAGCATTCGGTCCCCAGGAGGCTTCATCTTCCTGAAAAATCATCCCCACCGAGTAGAAAAAACAAGGGCACACACACACACACACACACACACACACACACACACACACACACACACACACACACACACACACACCTGTTCTTTAACCCCGTGGGGACCGTGCATTGACTTCCATTCATTTTTTTAGACTTTATTGCCTAATCCTGACCATTTAAGGAGCATCCGGTCCCCACGAGGCTGCATTTTCCTAAAAAATCCTCCCCACCAAGTATCAAAAACAAGGCCACACACACACACACACACACACACACACACACACACACACACACACACACACACACACACACACA